CTACATATGACTTCAGACGCCCTAACTCAAAATAGCCCTCTGAAATGGACTAAGAAGAGACTCATTTCAAGGCACAATAGGGATGGAAAATATCCACCTCCCACAAAGGAAAAACATAAGAACATATTTGTAAATGTAATTCATGTATGAACTAGAAAGAGAAGGCAACTCAATCTCTTCAGCATGCTTCACCAAGATCATGGCTGATCTGAATACTCCACATTCATGCATGCCCTTAATAACACTGCAAAACAAGAATGACTTAAAAATATAGCAGTGCTTGCTGACACTGAAATTGCGGGTCAACTGCACACGTGCTCTCTTGGAAACTCGTGTGCATCATGAGTAATGTCTGTACTGCGAATGTGGTTGAATAGGTACAGCATTGAATTGGGAATCGAACAAGGCTACAGAGAGAGAAAACAGACAGGGGAAGAAAGAAATCAGATGGAAGGGGAAGAGTAAGAATGAATGGATGGAGGTGAGAGAGAGAATGCATGGAGGAAGCAAGAGAATGGATGGTGGTGAGCAAGGGAACACATGGGTGCTTCCCTCCCCTCCCTGATCCATTCTGCCCCCTCCCCCTCCCCGGCACACTCCTGACCTAGCTCTCCAACAGAATCACATTACGCTGGCTCAGGGCTGCACCACTTCGCAGTTCCACTTCATCCTTGGCTCATTCACCGTGCTAACAAGAAAATTTTTCTTCTCCTTTCAGGCATCAAGGCACACAAGACACAACAACTCAGAGACAGACATGGCTGTCTGGAACCTTCCTTCCCTCCCCTTCCCTCTGTCTCTATCCCCTCCCCCAACCCCACCTCCTGTCAGGTATTCACCATCGCTCTTAACCTTCCGCTCTCTGATGCTGAATGTTCTGTACTCAGCAAAGGTCTCAGCTTTATCCCTCTGCGTCCCCATCTTAATGAATTTTGGGCACGACATGATGTCAAACTCTTCTTCTGCCGTCTTCGCCTCCATGCCCATTTCTTTGGACAAGAGTCCTCTCCCTATCCCACAAACCCCTTCACCCAGCTCCAAAACTCTCCCTCCATCTGGACCCCTCCCTCTGGCCTTTTACCTGTACTCGATCTGATAATTGAGAACTGTCGACATGACATTGGCCACCTCGACCACGGTCACTGACCTTACTTCATCTGGTGATCTCCCTTCCATTGCCTCAATGCTGATAGGCCCCAGCTATGCACAGCTCGCTTCCTCCTGTAAAGACTCCATTCCATTCTCCCAGTTCCTCTGTCTCCATTGCATATGTTCTGGTGAGGCCAACTTTGACAAGGGAGCCTCCAAAATGTCCACCTTCTTCCTCAACCGAGGACTCCCCAGCACTATTCTCGACAGGGCCCTCAACTAGGTCCGAGCTATCTCCTGCACTTCCACCCTCACCCCCTCTCTTCCTTCCCGCAACAGCAATAGGGTTCCCCTTGTCCTTACCTACCATCCCACCAGCATCCACATCCAGAAGATCATCAGCTCACCACTTCCACCACCTCCAGGAAGATGCCACCAGCAGACACATAGTCCCCTCCCCTCCCTTGTCTGCCTTCCGCAGGGACCGTTCCCTCCGGGACACCCTGTTCCACTCTTCCTTCACTCCCAACACACCCCCACAGCCCCATGGCACGTTCCCCTGCCAAAGGTGTAACACTTGCCCATTTAACTCCCCCCTCCTCAAAATCCAAGAACCCAGGTGAAGTAGCATTTTACCTGCACTTCTCACAATCTAGTCTACTGCATTCACAGCTCACAATGTGGTCTCCTCTAGATTGGGGAAACTAAGCATAGACTGGGCGACTCTTTTGCAGAACATATAAGTCCTGCCTGAAAAAAAGACCCTGAACTTCCAGTTGCCTGCCACTTTAACACACTGCCCTGTTCCCTGGCCAACATCTCTGTCTCAGACTTGTTGCAGTGTTCCAGTGAAGCTCAGCACAGGCTAGAAAACAACACTTCATTTTCTGCTTAGAGAACCTGCAGCCCTCCAGACCCAATATTGAGTTCAATAATTTTAGGGCCCAACTCTCCCATGTCCTAGCCCCCTACCTGTCACACCAGGCCTCAAATAGCCACTAACGGTCTCCATTAGCAGCTGTTAACCCTCCCAGCCAGATTGTTATCCACTCCTTAGTCTGTCCAACTGTTCTTCTCTCTTTTTGGGCTATATCTCCACCTATCTTTTACTCCTTACCCCCTCCCCCAACCCTATCCTCTGCATATAAACCAACATTTCCTAGCCACCATCAGTTTTGAGGAAGGGTCACCGGACCTGAAACGTTAACTCTGTTTTCTCTTCACAGATGCTACCAGACCTGCTGAGGTTTTCAAGCAATTTCTGTTTTTGTTTCTGATCTCTTCGCGGCTGTTTGTTAATGCATACATGTGCCATTTCTCCATGGTGTCAGCAAATGCAGCATAAAAATATTCAGAGACTCTGCTGCCACTGCCTTTGACATGAGAAAGTTCTAAAGACTCATGAATATCTGAGAAAAAAAAGTTCTCCTCATCTCTGTCATAAATAGGCAATCCCTTAGTTCTAGATTCCTCCATAAAGAGAAGGATTCTCTCCAAATGCACTGAACCTTCAGGGTTTCAAGGTTTATGATAGACCAATGCCTTTTCTGGAAGGGGTTCCGAAGACTCCGTGAGACAAAAGAAAATGTCTGCTTTGTTTTGAAAGGGTGATGGATCCCGTATTGCACACACCCCATGAAATTCTATTTATCTTAAAAACGTGCTTTTTTTTCCGGAGGAGGAGCAGGAAGGTTGGGTCTAGGCCCGAAATGTCAACCTTCCTGCTCCTCCGATGCTGCTTGGCCTGCTGTGTTCATCCAGCTCTACACCTTGTTATCTCAGATTCTCCAGCATCTGCAGTTCCTGCTATCTCTGAAACAATTTTTTTTCGATGGTTCTGATTCCCATTGATTTTGATTCATGTTTACAATGACTCACACATACAGTCGAGTACTCTTTCACCAATACCTTTTCAGGAAGTTCTACAAACTCATGACGGTGAGAGAAATATTTCACCTCATCTCTGTATTAAATAGGTGACACTTGCTTTTGAAACAGCGACTCCTGTTCTCCCACAAGGGGATATATCCTCTCGATGTCCATCCTATCAACAATCTTCAGAATCTTATATTTTTCAAGATTCATGATTTAGACAAATGTTCTCCTTATTTTGATTTGTATTTACAATGCTTCAACAATTCATTCAAAGACCTCGCTTCGACTGCCTTTTTAGGAAGGCAGTTCCAAAGACTCAGCGAGACAAAAAAAATCCTCTGCTTTGTTTTGAAAGGGCGATGAATCCCGTGTCGCCCACATCCCATGAAATAATACACTTATCTTAAAACGGTGTTTTTTTTCTCCTCTCTCTCTACCAGATCTAGCTGTCCCACGATACCAGGTTACAGGTTTATTTGAAACCACAACCTTCCGGAGTGCTGCTCCTTCAGCCAATGTCTCTGGGACCTTGTGATTTCAAATAAACTGCTGGCTCAAAGTGGAGAAGATCTCCAAGAAGATCGCACATATTGACAGGCACTCCACCTGATGATTCAGCAGCGCTGCGAAAGCTTGTGATTTCAAATGAACCTGTTGGACTATAACCTGGCGTCGTGTGACTTCTGACTGTGCACCCAGTCCAACACCAGTACCTCCACACCACTGATCTACTTGAGCTGCGAATTATGTGTTTCCAACACTTCCAAGGGTGGAGAAGCTGCACTCTAATGTTACAGATCTCAACGCCATATTAAAAATCATAAGTCACACAACACCAGAAGACAGAGGGTGGTGGTTGATGGGAAATGTTCATCCTGGAGCTCAGTTACTAGTGGTGTACCTCAAAGATCTGTTTTGGGTACACTGCTGTTTGTCATTTTTATAAATGACCTGGATGACGGCATAGAAGGATGGGTTAGTAAATTTGCGGATGACACCAAAGTCGGTGGAGTTGTGGATAGTGCGGAAGGATGTTGCAGGTTACAGAGGGACATAGATAAGCTGCAGAGCTGGGCTGAGAGGTGGCAAATGGAGTTTAATGCGGAAAAGTGTGAGGTGATTCACTTTGGAAGGAGTAACAGGAATACAGAGTACTGGGCTAATGGTAAGATTCTTGGTAGTGTGGATGAGCAGAAAGATCTCGGTGTCCA